AATGAATGTTTTTTTAAATAATACAATAAAGATATTTGTAAAAATACCCCTTTTTTGAATTGAATAACTTGAATAATTAATTTTTTTTATTTCTAATCTACTGTCTAATTTTCAGTATTTGCATCAGCCACTGAAAAAAAAACAAAAAAACAGTATAGGTCCAAACATTTCCTGAATAATTTCCCCAAAACGAAAACAGGAAGTGACATTAACCTTGCCATCATTGTAGAGGTTTGGATTGAAACGGACGCTGTGGCCACCGGTGGTCTCCAGATTAACCAGAGGAGGGGAGTTTGGGTAATCTTGAGGAAAGTAGACGTCAAATTCGAAACAGCCATTAGCATACGGTGTGTCTGCGGGCCCTGTTATCAACACCTGAGACAAAAACCAAGAAAACATTGTCTTGAACAGCACCGTAATGATTGTGCATGTCTAAACCAGGTCTATAGAGGAAGTTTTACTGATACAGGCAAAGAGATGCATCCCGCTTCCCAAAGAAGGAGTGAGAGAGAGGAAGATTGGAGGACTGTAATGCCATCCAGTGAATCTCTCTCCACTGCAGGCGGCAGAGCTGCACTCAGGCGTTAAGACTGTTTTGACATGACCATTCAAATGCAACACTAAACACAACACACAAAGCTGTGCTCACACACTCTGTGTAGGTTAAATCAGGAAAGCTCAGTTTACTATTAATGTCCATTAAGATTGTATGAAGTGTGGAGGAAGATAAAAAGGTCTGGCCCGCTGTTAAGGGTCAGTGTAAGCAGACGGAGCAGTGAGTGACCAGTCTGACTGGGGCTCTGCCTGTGGTCTGGCCTGCCCGAGACATAAAGCTCAAGCCAGACACACTGACATTTACACACTCAGAGAGGAGCCCGGGTCAAAAGCACATCTGAAATGTCATTAGGAAGAGTGTGTGCACTCATGTGTATGTGTTAGAGACCACAAGACAACAAGAAAAGCAAGTGACTCCTGGGATTCACTGTGGTTGTTTTGTCATGCAGCAGAGATCGAAAGATTTATGTTGACCCACAGTAAACAGCAAGGCTTGAGGCAGTCATGGTCTGCTTTCATATTCAGCACTGAGATATCAGATTCTTGTTGACCGATTCATTTAATTAGTCAATTCACATTATTTGATTCTGTAATAAAAAATGTAATTAACACATTTAATAAATTAATACATTTAAGTTGTTTCAACTGCCACTCAAGTACAAAAAATATTTTCTATTTTTTAAAAAATGTAATGCAATTAATCATGCTCATCCATTTTGCATTTATTTTTGCGTCACAATTCCATTTTAAGGTTTTAGTGATTTACAAAGGCTCTGTGAATCAGTTTAAGCGAATCATTAGAAAGAATCGGTTTAAAAGCAAGATTTGTTTACAAACTAGATTTATCTAATAATGTAGTTCATTGCAGGCATATTATGATACATTATTATGGTAAATTTGTGTTCTTACCCCAATTTAAGATGCTTATGCGGCTTAAATTGATCTCTGCTTTACGAATAATCAATAAGCTCTTATAAATATAAGAGTTTTAGTTGAGGGGTCAGAGGTATCAAATCATACCTTCATGATATCGAGACGTTCTTCATCACAGCGGACAAACACGCTGGAGGATGAGGAGAGAGGGAGGGAGGTGGAGAGTGTGACGGCCTCCTGTGCTAATCGTCGAGCACGAGCGGCACTGTTGGCATCACTGGCATTCTTCACCTGAGACAGGTATCAGTTTAAGCGAATCATTAGAAAGAATCGGTTTAAAAGCAAGATTTGTTTACAAACTAGATTTATCTAATAATGTAGTTCATTGCAGGCATATTATGATACATTATTATGGTAAATTTGTGTTCTTACCCCAATTTAAGATGCTTATGCGGCTTAAATTGATCTCTGCTTTACGAATAATCAATAAGCTCTTATAAATATAAGAGTTTTAGTTGAGGGGTCAGAGGTATCAAATCATACCTTCATGATATCGAGACGTTCTTCATCACAGCGGACAAACACGCTGGAGGATGAGGAGAGAGGGAGGGAGGTGGAGAGTGTGACGGCCTCCTGTGCTAATCGTCGAGCACGAGCGGCACTGTTGGCGTCACTGGCATTCTTCACCTGAGACAGATAATGGTAGTTCACCTTAAACACCAGCTTAGAGTCCTCATCCTCACACACCATCTCAAACGTGTCTGTGGAAGAGAAGACACACAGACAGTTAGTTTTTAGCAGCCACAATGAAATATAAACATTAGACTCACTTAAAAATAATAATTTCATCATATTTCCTCCAGAAAAAGCCATACTGTGTATTCTGAAGGATCTGTTCTGTGTAGGCTAGTGCAGTGTTTCTCAACCTTTTTTTAGTCGCGGCAACCTTTGGAAATTTTAACAAACCTGTGGCACCCTACAAAATTAATTTAGTCACAATATTTGAATTTCTAACTTCGATATGATAATTTGAAAAGTATAGATATTTGGTACAACAGGGAAGAACTGCAGAATATAATGTCATACAGATATTTTTAATATTATTAAAAAAATTTGTCCATCAATGGTGGCAATCAGTAGGCTAATTTCTAATGAAAAGACCAATTTATATTACAGATTTTAATGTATGCTTTTATTCAAATGTAAACATTGTGAGATAGCTAGTTAAACAAAGTTTTGATTTTACAGCTGGGTAATTTTGTTGCAGTAGCACGAGATAGCTTGATTTAAAACGTTGAATTGAATAAAAAA